GGTATCTAATCACACTTATAAGAATACATTTTGTAACTGAGCGATTCATAGTCAAATCGTCTACTTTCTCAAGTGATACCTTCAACTTTTGTTTATTTGTTTTTCTAGTTGATAGAACTTTGCTTCTACGCTAAGAGACCATTAAGAGACTTTAGGAAACCTGCTCTCCACGGGTTTTTATTCTGTGATAGTGTAAAATTTCTGACTTGCTTACGCAACCTTGATCACTTCATATTTTTGTAGTTTTTGGACACGGTCAAATAGTTTTGGATTTTTCTAGAAGCTCGCTTTCTGCAGGATTAGGATAATTTAGTCTTTATTTGCAAAAACAAGTAAGAAACACAAAGGTAAAGTGTGAAAGGGAATTACTTTAAGGGTGGCATTCAAATTCAGTAAAAAAGTTGCAGAAATTTTTTTTCTACAAAATAAAAGGCTTTTTCACATGAGAAAACTCTAGGTTTTAGAGTTAGAACTAGTTACGTAAATTGACGATAACAATTTCACTTAGAAACATCTGATACTTCAGCTTGTTTTCCACTGCTTTCGCTATGGCTGCATTTCTTTGTCTTCAAATCGACATGGTTTTCTTAATTTTACGTTCCTTGCATTTCTTTTCTACATGCCACCTTTTTCCCTTCTAAATCTTTGCTACAGTAAGCCGTGTAAAAGGTATGTAATTTGAAATTCATGGGTGTAGCTTTCGTAGAAACTTATAAAGTGTCTTTATAAATCATAAAGGAAATGCCCTAAAAGTGAAAACTGTCGCGCAGAAATTTGACAAACTTTGCTCTTTGGCGAATTATAGCGTTTAGAAGATTAATTTTCCAGCGTTTCCTCTTGGATTCCTTGATATTGAGACGAATTTTGATAGCCATTAAAATTTAAAAGAAAATTTGAGATATTGCGTAGACATGCAGTATGGTTTGACCCTTTGTGACAAAAAATATTTAGTTTATAGTCTATGAGAACCATACTTTGACTTTTTTGCTGGAATAAATTTTAAGAAAGGAAAGATGAGGCGTAACTTCTAAACCATTTTCTTTTACGGAGGCGTGAAAGAGACTTTTGTTTTCTTTTCCTAGCGGAGTAAACTGTGTGAAATTAATTTCCTCTTCATTCTATAAAGTGCTCTTCAAATAATTGCATTTGGCAGTTGGTCTTGAAGATGAAGCACAGAAATCGGGCTTTTTTTTAGAACTACTTCATATCTTCTGAGTACTTCGTAGAGCTTAGGTTTAGGTGATTTGCCAGAAATATTTTATTATACTAAAAGCACACCGTTTACAACTTCAAATCTTGTAGGTACTGTACTAACTTATGGCTCTAAAATTGTATTTTTCGACCTGTTGTGCTATGATGTTTGTCTTAAGGCTTTCTGGTGCACATTCCCAGCAAGTGACGAGCCTCACCGTAGTTCGCCCATGTCTTGTGTATGTATCGTTGGTGAAGAGAATTTACAGTTGTGTCCAGACGTAGATGGGCATATTTATTCAGTTAGTCTCCCGTTCAAGGTCATTTTCTTTTACTTTAATAATTTTCGTGATTTTAAATTGCGTTATATATGACCTGGTCTAATACTTCTCTGGATTTTAAATCTTTCCAAGCAGATACACTTGGGAGGGGAAGTTGCTAGCTGTGTCGCTTAACTAAAAATTAGAACCTTCAAATATTGAAAAAAGAATCTAATATAGCGCAGTTTTCAATTGTAATGAGATTTTTGGTAATTGATATTAATTTCGTACTTTAAGAAAACGATTTTTTAGTTTGAACACTATATACAGGGATTCAAAATGCTTCATTTCAAAACAAAATGAAATCTCTTATATTCAAAAATTTCAGCTTAGCTTTCTGTTATTTTTTGGTCCTACTGCATTTGCGGAACTAGAGTGCAGATGATTTTCAATTTTTTTCTTATCTGGAATAATATGAAATTTTTTGAATTTGTTTAAACATTTTTTGTTGTTTAAGGTCAATAAAGTACTGCCCTGTGAATTTGGTTTGTTTCTGCAGAGGCTTCCAGTACCATCTTCTCTGTAAGTTCCAGCTAAGTAGAGCTACAGAGCTTTAATTTAAAACTAAAAAATAAAGGGTGGAATATTAATTACTCTTCTTTGTGATGTTCACACTCAATTTTGGAGACTTCTGTATACTTGTTTTTAGGAAAAATCCGACTGTATTTCCTTACCTCTTTTCGCTCTCTCACCCATATGATGAAATATTACCTATAGTCTATAAAAGTAAAGGTAAGTACATAAGCAGGTCGTTGGGGTAATTTTTTAATAAACTTTAAGAGTTTTTACAAGATGTTATTCCAAAGTTAGAGCTATTGGCAGCACAAGTGCACCTTGAATAACGACTTCATTTTTCAAGAGCTCGAGGGATCTTGTCACTATATATGGGACAGTGAAGAAGTTTCGGTAATTGAAGTGTTACCAGAATCAAATTTAGTATTATGCTATTCTCAATCAAGCAAGACCCACTCCCTATGTAGTTTTCGTAAAGTTACGAAATCAGAGTGGAAGTATGCAGCTCGTAATGCGGAATCTCTCGTTTCTTTTGCAAGTGCTCTGACACCTACAGGTTAGTTTTTAATGTTTTTTATTTGTTAATTACACTTGAAGTGAAAATTTTTTTTTGGATAAATAGCGCATCATTCGCTTCCATTTAAAACTTGTTTTTCGGTTGCATTATTTTATTTTTTTTCCCAAGTTTTGAGTTTATATTTACCAATATTTTATTCCTGCTGAATAGTTGCGGCGAATTCTTGTGAGATCCGCAAAGATTTTGAGTAAAAATCAGGAGCGGGATTCGCAAAGATTTCGAGTAAAAATCAGAAACGAGATCCGCAAAGATTTTGAGTAAAAATCAGAATTGGAGTTTTTAGCTCGCAGCTTCTTGACAACAACTCCGCAAATGTCTGCTCAGAGTGTACCAAGAGTCCGAGCCTGTTTAGGTACTCTCTTTCTTTTCGTTTTATTTTTTAGTTAAGTCACTGAAAAAAGTTTCGGTTTTTTTTTTCGTTTTTTTTTGTGTAAATAAGGTTCTTTCGGAGTAATAGTTTTCAAGTTCAACGGATCTTCTTTTTTCTTATAGGAAGTTTGTTGTAGCATCCGGAATATCAAGTATTTCATTCTTCATTAAAATGCTTTACAGTAGTTCTAAATAAGTAGTTTTTAAAAAAAGAGAAGGAGTTTATGGATGACATAATAATATGCAATTTCTGAAGTTATGTTAGTTGAATCAGTACAGCTTCTATCGTTTATGAGTAAAGAACATTTTTTTCTTCTATCATATACAGATCTTGGGGACTGAATTATTTTTGGTTCACTTAATTTTTGAGCATAGATGCGGCTTTTTTGTGTGTGTTAGGCTCTACACGTCACTCTGCTTATAGATTTGGGGGATCAGGCCGAAACAACACCGTTACGTTCAGTAAGGACACGATCAATGACTGCTGCAGCACAGCTGATTGAATCTCTTCCATATCCGAATTTGAGTCCTGCTCAGAAGGGTTCAGTAGGGTTTGTTTTTTGAATTACTTACCAGTAAATGATTATCCATTTGTTATACTGTTTTTTTATTTTATTCAATTAGTGCTTGTTGATGCAATTTTATATTTTTCTCTATTCACTTAACGTAAAATTGCTTTGGTACTTGCTTCTACATTTGAATTTAACTAATTTTCATCTCTTTTGAAACTATTTTTTGCAGTCGTTCCTTTCGTGACATTTCTGCTTCACGATGGCGGCGAGGAAGTATGAAATTTTCAAGTTCTATTTTCATAAAGTAATAGCCAAAGTTTTTTTATTTTTTCAATGAATGAAGGAGAAGAAGTTTTAATAAAGTATAGAATGGTATTTTTGAATGGGAAACATTTGGCTTCATTTGGATTTTGCTAATAACAGTATTTAATTAGGCGCTCATTCAACTCCTCGTATAAGTTCTTTTTGTGATGACAGTATTACAACAGCAATTGATGTTCGAGGCTCAGAGATTGATATGATTGCGCCAGAGGTTTTTTTTTTTCAACACACTTTGACAAACTGCAACGGTCTGCTACTGTTTCGTAGTTAAAATGATTATTGACTGCAGTTTTGTCTTTAATTTGAAAAATATTGTTGTTGACCTTTATTGGAACTAGTATTGACGAGTGGAATTACGTTTTCACTGCTGAGGCTTAGTTTCGAATTTTTAAAAGAATTTTTATTTTTAGAATAGATTTACAGAACTTTATACTTGTATTTCAAAAAATTTTTCACTTTTGTTACTCATACCTCTTTTGTGGGTTTTCTTGATTTTTTTGGCGTATTAAATGAAAACTTCATAGTCAATTGAAGCTGTTCCAACGCTTTACGTTTTACTGCTAATAGTAATAATAATCCGAACTCATTGAAAATGAAATTTCATTATTTCTTTTCAATAACTGTATCGTACTCAATTTTACAATAAAAGTGAAAATATTTTCATTCATTCTTCCTAACTTTATTTGATTTTTTGAGGTTATTTTCTGCTTAAGACTAATAATTTTAAAAATTTCTTTGATCATCGGTTAAAGCAAGGAATATTAGGGCAAGAGAACATATTTGTAAAAGTAGTGTTTGTGTTACGGAAGTTATTCTAGTATTATAGCAACTATTGTGAGGCAGATTGAGAGCCATATTAATTTATGTTCTATTGGTATTAGTGATTTTGTTGTGCAGTAGCATGCTCTGTGTCCTGAAACCAGTTGCATCAGCATTTTCTAAGGAAAAGTTTTGCCGACTGCTACCTTGGGTGCTGCGTGTTGATGCGTTTCAGAAGTGTGGAGCAGTTTATATTTTAAGAACGTTGATTTTACTTGGGGCTGTTGCGGACTAA